AAAAATAAAATAAAAGAATATTATCAGTAATATGCGGTTATTGACATGTTAACACTTACTTGCTGTTAACACTCCCAGGTATATATTGGAGCAAAGTAATCAGCCTTATAAAAATAATTTAAAGTTACTATCAATTTCCAAACTTTGTTTGAGGGCTGGTTGTGCACCATCGTCATGGTTACTGTAATGGGAGCCTTGCTTTCAGATAAAATCAAAGCACCATGCATATAGTACTGCCTTTCAAAGCATTGAACACTTTTTCTGCAAAACAGACGTTCCTGTAACGCATGAAAAACAGATATGAGCAACTAAATGGTCCTGTCACTGAGGCACTTTTGTCATCAGCCGTGTCGCTATCTGATCAGGAAATGAATAACTGAATCATTCTTCCTCTTTGTTCATCTTTTCCTGCTTTAGCGTGACTCATGGGACCAGTCAGGGCCGGAGCCGGTATCCCAGGTGGATGGCCTTTGTCCAGACAGCCTGGCCTCTGTCAGTGTCCCTCCCTCCATGCCCAGCCCGGAGCCCCCTGGCAGCCCGTCGCAGTACCGTTCCCCCAGCCGCGGCTCCTCCATGGGCCCCGTCCCCAGCAGCCAGCCCTACACCCTGCATTCCCTGGAGGACGTCCACTACCATCCTTTAACCAGCAGCAGTACCTACCCTGTGCCCTCCTCCTTTCCATGCCCCCCGTACATGAGCAGCCCTGTCAGTGACCTGGTGTCCAAGATGGTGACAGAGGAGGTGGGCGAAGGTCACAGCAGCCTCCCGGCTGGCACTGACGCCCACTCCTCGTGGGCTAAGGAGGACGGAGTGAACCCCTGGTCCCCCTACGAGATCAGAAGGGCCTACTGACCCCAGTCCAACCAAGACTGCAGGTGGATGGAATTTCACAAACTTTTTCTTCCAGGAATAAAGTCAGGAAGCACCGACCTTGACGTAAATTGTTATTAAGAAGGTGTTTTTTTCTTTTTTGTGCTTTTTATTGGACATCGTCTTCATCACTTCATCATCATTTCCTGCTGACATTTGTACCTTCATTAGCAACACAGTAGCATTGTTTGACTATGTTGGACACAATTATATGGTGGAAAAAGTCACATAGGGGTGTTTATTATTTTCCTCTTATTTTTGTTAATTTTAGTCTGTTTTTCAAGTTTGTATTATATGTAAAAAGAATGAAGAAGCTGGTAACAGTAACTACAACAGCAACAAATAAAATGCATTTAAGGATGAAGTCAATTTTCTTTTTCTAGTGTTTGAATGGAGAATTCACTCCATGCATGGTTCATGTTATACAGTAGCAGCCATTCAAAATGGTCCTTCCCAGTCAAATACCAGCTCCAACTCCCAGCAAGGTTAGCATAATTTGCATAATTTTATACTCTGACTCCACCCTTTCACTGAATTACAGGGTGTGACCAGAAGATGGCGCTTCTCTTTAGATCTTAATATCCACAAATCATGACAGAAAGAATATTTTAGTACAAAGATTGATGTTTAAAAACCAGCAAAGGACCCATCAAGGAAAGTGGGAAAATTTTGAATGGCTGCTACTGTATCTGTCCTTCAACAGAGACAAAACCGGCCACTTTAATGAGGACTGCTTTGTCTCTATGACTGAATGTGTGCAAACCTCTCGTAAAAGAAGACATTTTTTGGTTGGTAACATTACCCTACTACACAGCTTGCGAAAGTTTTCATACTTTTTTTTGTTTTTCTGTTTGTTTGCTGAATACGATGAATGTGATCGGTCAACCCAAATTAGTTCAGAAAATGATGCAAGTTTTCTGTAAAAATGCCTTGTGTTTAGCCTTTTGTCTGCATTTAGTTAGCATTAGCTAGCTGTGGTTGGCAGGTCGCTTCAGGGTCTAGCTTCTTGTCCAATTCTTCTTCTCATAGGAACATATATAGACCTAGCCTCGTGAGACCATCCTGATCTCGCGAGCTTTCAAGGTTTCACTCGCTGATCAGTCTGGAGACTCTCTGTTAAAGAAAATTTGGAGCCGTTCACCAAACGAACGTCCAATCAGCGTTGGCTTTGAGGCAGGTTGAGGTATGACACAACGAGAAGCGCGACAGTTCAGTCTAAAGAACACAGCGGCTTCAGCCGATGAAACTAGCGTTAGCATGGCTATCGAGCAAGTTTTATCGGAATTACAGAGTATTTCTTCACTGAAAGAAGAGCAAAACACTGCTCTGGAGGCTTTTCTCAGAGGAAAAGATGTTTTTGCTCGCTCGTCTATCACCAACATAGGCCAATCAGCTAACCAGTATTTTCGCCCCTTCCCAAAATTACTTCAACGGAAGGTTTCCAGATGGATATGCGGAGCAAATCCATCTGGCGGAGTCAGGTTAATATAGACCTATATCAACTGGATATAGGTCTATATTATATCCCATAGTGGAAATCGTAGCGCCTACCTCCAACCTCCTTCTTTACTGCCAGCACTATTTGGACAGCACTCATCGTAGCAAATGCTGATGTAAAGAGTTCTTTACCAATTTAAACAATTCACACAGATCCTAAACTTTGACTGGGCCATCCTAAGATTTGGATTTGGACTGTGCAATATTTTCAATTAGCTATTACTCAAACTGTACGACCAAACCGCAGGGTTTAAAAGTTCACAGCTCAGATGATAGATTGAACAAAGCTGTAGGAAATGTTTAAAGCTTGGGCAGATGCTCTAGAATCAAACTCTGCTTTCAACTTTTCCTCTTAAAGCTGATGTTCTCTAGCAAACATCTGAACATCTGGATTTCTATTAAAAGCAGACAGAAATTTTAATTAGGTGACATTTTTAAGGTAGTCTATCTTTTTACTAAGAAGGATCAGAGTAAATGTCCTCCACACTTAAGATTACAGTTAGTAAACATTAAAATATATAATTTTCTTTCCACTGTTATTCACTGCTTTGTGTCGGTCCTAATAAATCTTGATAAAATGAATGAAGGTTTGTAGTTGTTACACGAAACGGTCTAAAAATGTTTTTGCAGGACTCAGTATATTCCTGAAACATGTCAGCTGCCTTTCAGATGGAGCTTCAACCGAAATGACCTGCAGCGATGGAGCGATTTCTGTTTGCTTGAATTTAAAGAAAATGAACTACAGTGGTGCTGTTGATGTTTGAAAAGATTTCAGAACTTCTTGGATGTTTTTCTATCACTTTAATGTAGGGAACCAGCTTGATTTCAATGTTTACTGTCTTCCAGATGTCAGGCTGGACTGTTTCACATAAAGAGCAGTTATGTTTAGTGTGATGAGCATCTTTTATTCTAGTAAATATGTGCTTTAAGAAAACTATTGTCTGTATAAATGTGCATCCATATCACTATATACTGTTTGTTTCCTGTTATTTGTATTTCTTTCTTATTTTATTTTACTATTTGACCCAGATTGAACCTTATTAATTAGGTTTTAATCAATAGTCATTACATCTGAACATAAAAAACTAGATAGTTGATCTTCACAGGCTTAAACCAGATCTTTTAAAGGAAAAGTCCGGACAGCAACGAATAATTAATGGATCATTATTTATACCCCAAACTCATATGTTGGCCGGGATTTAATGAATTTAGTGTTAATTGGCCAAAAAATAAAAACAATAATTTTGGTCGCGATCACCGTGATCATCTGGGAGCGGCCATTTTTGCCCAAATATAGTAGCCCCTCCCTCCTGCCATCTTCCAGCAGTGACGTCACGGTACGGTTCTGGCCAGAGAAAAAACCCGTAATATGTAGCCAACATTTGGAAGAAGAATGTTTTCA